TGCTGAGCGCCGAAGACGCCGGTGTCTGAGGTGTGCTCAGTCTGGACTCAAAACTTTCTAGCCGCGCATCTTGAAGTTCAGGAAGTTGGCACCGCTTCGACTTTTTGGCTCGCCACCATGTTCGTTTTCTCCTTGTTGAGCCGCGTCGAGGTCGCAGGGCTTCCGTTGGTTGGCCGTTGCCGTTCTCGAAGAATGGAGACTCCGAAGGGGTGTGCTTAAATTTGGGTATGGGGGTGCTAATTCTTTCTTCACTGTACTTTGTCGCAGACTTTAAATCCTTTTTATTTTGACCAGTTTGTGTGAATATTGGGTCGAATAACTCCCTTTTCTTAACAAAATCTGGATTGCGCCAAAAGTCCAAATGCTCTGATTTTCTACAGGTATTTATTTTCACGAAAGAAGTTTTGTGTTGTAGGTGTCCAGTCAGAGTTAAAAGTTCGCCAAAACTTGAGCCAGGACTGATTCGTTCTTCAAATATCTTTTTCCGTAAAAGTTTGTAAACAGAAAAATTGATCGCAGGGAGTTTGGAAGAAGACCACTTTGGAATAACTCTGTTTGGATCGCGATATTCAACAAACTCGGGATCTATTTGTTTAGTACCGGTAGAGCTCATATTTTTCTCACAACGACATTTATCTTTCGTGTGTTGATGTTCACCCGATTTGCCTATGTTATCTGAACATTTCTTCTTGTGACGACCTCGAGTTTTCGAGCCGTCCATTTGAGACCGATCGGGATGGACAAAAAGCACGGGTAAAACCCTGGGAGGATGTTTGCTGTGCCCATCTTTGAACGCGGTTCTGCGAAGTGTTCTGATGTCAGATGTAAACGGTGGAGCGGATTCTACGCCTTTAAGCGTTGGTAAGGTGATCTTCTTGTTTTGTTTAAGAGCTGCATAGTTTGCTAATGCCTGCATGTTACGCGGATGCCTGTCACTACTCCACGCGTGTGCTGCCTGTCACTACTCCACGCGTGTGCTGCCTGTCACTGTTCCACGCGTGTGCTGCCTGTCATTGCTCAACGAATGGATGCCTGTCACTGCTCAACGCGTCGATGCCTGTCAAAGCTCAACGAGTGGATCTCTGTCACTGGTCTACGTGTGGAGGCCTGTCACTGCTCAACGAATGGATGCCTGTCACTGCTCAACGCGTCGATGCCTGTCACAGCTCACCGAGTGGATATCTGTCACTGTTCCACTTGACTCTGGCAGGAGAAATTATGAAAATTTCTGTTAGATTAAAAATGCCAAGAATATTAGAAAATTCACATCTTGTGTATGTTTTAAAAAAAATAATCCTAAAATTACCTGTCCTGCGACCTGTTGGCAGAATTAGCTTTGTGCTAGCGGTGCGACTAGTTGCACACCTTTCATTAGCGCAGAGCCGTCGCGTGGGTTCTGCAACCCCTGCAGCTCCAGGGGGGGGGGGGCTCTGATATTTAAAGGCCCCAAAGTTGTCGTGTGGGAAAAAAATTAATGGATATTAAATATTGAATATTTAAATAACAAAAAGAGTTAAATGGCAGGGGGCCCAAAAAAGTCACAGGACATCTCTAGGTGCCAGCATGTCATAGGTAGTGAGTGCCAGAATGTCATAAGTAGTGAGTGGCATAATGTCATAAGTAGTGAGTGCCAGAATGTCATAAGCAGTTAGTGCCAGAATGTCATAAGCAGTGAGTGCCAGAATGTCATAAGTAGTGAGTGCCGGAATGTCATAAGCAGTGAGTGCCGGAATGTCATAAGCAGTGAGTGCCGGAATGTCATAAGCAGTGAGTGCCGGAATGTCATAAGCAGTGAGTGCCGGAATGTCATAAGCAGTGAGTGCCGGAATGTCATAAGCAGTGAGTGCCGGAATGTCATAAGCAGTGAGTGCCGGAATGTCATAAGCAGTGAGTGCCGGAATGTCATAAGCAGTGAGTGCCAGAATGTCATAAGCAATGAGTGCCAGAATGTCATAAGTAGTGAGTGCCGGAATGTCATAAGCAGTGAGTGCCGGAATGTCATAAGTAGTGAGTGCCGGAATGTCATAATCAGTGAGTGCCAGAATGTCATAAGCAGTGAGTGCCGGAATGTCATAAGTAGTGAGTGCCTGAATGTCATAAGCAGTGAGTTCCGGAATGTCATAAGTAGTGAGTGCCGGAATGGGGTGTGATTTAGATAGAATATATTACCTAACCTTGCGTAGGGCTCTATTTAAATTTCGGATTAGATAAAAATATTTTTCCCAACTCAAAATGTGCCAAATAAAAATTTCAATTGAAAATAAGCCACGACGAAATAAATATCTTCACCAAATGCAGGATGATCTACTTGACGTCATGTTTATGTATGAAAATAAAGATGGTTATTCGTAAAATAATTAAATTAATTTCATAAATGAGAGTTCCATAACTTAACAGACCTACCGTAATCCTGACCACCGCAGCCATTGCATTTATCTCTGCGTTTAAACGTCGTGTGCGCAGGTCCGTGACTTTAATTGCCAGAGCGGGACCTCAAGGTGCGCCACTGAAATGCACAGGACATTGTTGTTTTTTTTGCATGACGCCAGGGGTTCTTTAAGTTACAGCGTGTAACCCATTTCATTCCAATACCTCGAGGGAACCAATACGTTATTTCTATTCTACGACTGGTTCTTTCGAAAAAGGATAGTGGATAGTGGATAGTGGATAGTGGATAGTGATCGTCTTTTGGGGGTGGTTTAGAAAAAAGGGTGTGTGGTGTGTGGTGTGTGTGGTTGCGGTAATGTGGACATGCAATCCTTCTTGATGAGCCAATGAAGATTTTGAGTGCATAAGAATAACAAAAATTATCCCTTAAAAAAAAAAACACTTTCAGAATACTTGTTATTATGTAAGATTATAGTACATTAGCACCTAATCTTTGTTAAAAAAACCTTTACGGTTATTTTAGTCTGATGTTGGCTATAAAGGAGTCTCTACCTTGTGCTTCTAAAAAAACACGGTGGCTCGATCGCATAGCTCACCTGGTAGCTCAATGGTAGCTCGGTTGTGTAGCTCAGCTAATAGCTCGATTGTAGCTCGATAGCTGGATGGTAAAATAAACGTTATTTTGTAAGTCCGGACGTACATAGTACGCTCGTGACTAAACCATTTCCCATTGAGAACCCTTGTTATCTAGACACGATATATTCTTGAGGACTATCGACCAGCCGTAAAGTCTACCATTGAAACAAAAGAGGACAGCCATGCTTCACGGGGCAAGGCGATAGGCTCTAAGATTTGTATTAAAACCATTGTCAAGGGCTTTGATTGGAGATATAACGAAACTAGGTCACTGACGCTTTGATTAAACATTTTATTTACGCCTGTAACTAACAAGTCTACAGACATGATCGATGTATTCCCGACATTACTGGAAGGTAAACTATTTACATAGGTAAATTACAAGGATTTAACACGGTTTGAGCGGGACTCAGCGTAAATTAAGGTGAGACATTTTTTTTTTTTTTGGATTCCAGATCAGACAGCACGCTTACGTCATAAGCAAGATTCGGTCATAGACTTGGCGTGGGAGTCATTCATCTCTGTCTTTAGACCTGAATCCGGACGGCTAGTCTTAAAAAAGAAAAAAAAAATAAACAAATAAAAAGTTGGAATAATTATTCAAAGGCGTATGCAACAACTTGTAAAAGTTGAAGGTTGCAGATTAGCAAGAATTTTCAAAAGACTGAGACCTATCGATAACACATACTCCTTTTAGTTCACAAGTTTTAGCAGGACGGGTGGGGACTGGGAGTGGGAGCTTGAAAAGTTTGTAAGCTTTTTTTTTTCAGGGGGAGTGGGGTGCGGGAGGTGGCTCGTTTATAGGGTAAACATTTTTTTGGGAGTATTTACACGTTTTTAGGGTACCCAAGTTTAAGAGGGGTCTCCCAAGTTTTTAGGGTACCCAAGTTTAAGAGGGGTCTCCCAAGTTTTTAGGGTACCCAAGTTTAAGAGGGGTCTCCCAAGTTTTTAGGGTACCCAAGTTTAAGAGGGGTCTCCCAAGTTTTTAGGGTACCCAAGTTTAAGAGGGGTCTCCCAAGTTTTTAGGGTACCCAAGTTTAAGAGNGAGGGGTGTGGCAAGTTTTTAGGGTACGCAAGTTTAAGAGGGGTCTCACAAGTTTTTAGGGTACCCAAGTTTAAGAGGGGTCTCCCAAGTTTTTAGGGTACCCAAGTTTAAGAGGGGTCTCCCAAGTTTTTAGGGTACCCAAGTTTAAGAGGGGTCTCCCAAGTTTTTAGGAGGCGAGGAGCAGTATTGTCAAGTTACCAGGCAACTGACGGAGGTCTATGATGATGAAAGGTTAGCGGATCACGTGATCCTGTTACGGTGATTGGACGACGACGTGACATGAACGGTGGCAGCTCGTGTGTTTGGAGAAATTACCAATAAAAAAAAAAAAAGTTGACTTATTGCGACCCGCATAAGTTTGCATTAAAACAGGGCCATCCCCTAATTCAGTTGTTCTCAACCCGTGGCTTTCGACCCCCCCTCGTTGGTCGTCAGCTAAATTTCCGTTCGACCAATCTTCCCATCGATCAATTTTCATTTTACCAAATTTCTTCCAAACAAATTTACCATCAACCCTCCCCCGTACCTGTGATGAGGTCCGGTCTCACCGAGACAAAGACGTTATACATACACTGGTGGCTACTCTAGACACAACAACATCATTATTAACAAATCAACATAGTAATATTCTGCGCTTAATGTGGGGAGGGGGGGAGACTTCACTGACTTTGATTTTATGACAGTATCATACGTCATGGAATAATTCTAGATGTAGTTTGAATAAAAAAAAATTAATTAAAAAAAAATTTAAAAAAAAAAAAATTAAATTACCCGACAGTGACTAGAACCCTGACAATGTAATCCTCCCTTCACAAAGTTGGGTCGCTTTTAAAGTGTATCCGGAAATTTGATCGACAGAAATTTCGTCGACGTTAAATTGGTCGACGGTAATATGATCGAACGGAAATTTGGTCGAATCTTCTTTTCAATTTTTACGTTACAATTTTGAATCAAATTTCTTTTTGAACGAATTATTCTGTTTTACTAAATATTATAGTGCGTTCAAAAAGAAATTTGACGAAAATTTTAACGTGCGAACAGAAAAAAAGATTCGACCAAATTTCCGTTCGATCAAATTACCGTCGATCAATTTACCGTCGACGAAATTTCTTTCGATCAAATTTCCGGTCACCCTTTTAAAGGCGTAGGTAAATGGGAGATCAATCCATAAACAAAATAAAGCGTGTACACATTTTTAGTTGTCTCCCTCAATCTAAAAGAAAAATGTTTAAAAAGAAAAATAGCTGGTGGAAAAATTCTCTCTCTTTTAACGATTTAATTTTCAAATCGAGAACCAGTCTGGGAAAAGCACAACATTTTGAGTTACATTTTTAAATGCAAAGAAATTCTTCTTTAAAGAGGGTGAGGTGAATGAGCTAAATTATCTTAAAAAGAAAAAAAACTCAAAGTGTAAGGAAGTAAGGTGCATGTCATTTGAACACAAGAACAATGTATGCTGCTGTACTTTACTTTAAAAAAAAATAATTAAAAATTGTTAGTTAAAAAAAAATTAAGGTAAATTAAGAAATTCTAAATATTTATTATTGGCTAACTCAAGACATAAGACATTTGACATAAGGCATACGATATATGACATACCATAAGCCATAAGACATACCATATGACATTAGACACATGGTATAAAACATATGACTTACGACATCTGACATAAGACACGTGGTATGAGACATATGACATAAGATATAATAATATATATGTCATAAGAAACATGGTGTAAGACACACGACATGAGACGAAAAAGGAAATACATCCTTGCCATTTCATGAGTTAGGGTGAAATCGATGGAATTAAAATATTTTGTTACTGATCAGAACCTCGGCGTCCCAGACTGACGTCCTGGAGTAATCCCAACGCTCGGGTTTGACGCTTAACCGCCCTTCTACACCTAGCGTTTTCTTGCCAAGGTTAAAAACGTCTGTCTCTCCTTGTACTACAGTTTCAAAGGGAGACAATTCAGACCCGACGTGTAAAAGAAAGCTGCTTAAAAAAGAAAAAAAAAAAGTGGAATCTATAACTAGTTGACCAAGATTTAGAATCCTTGCCACCGGCCATTGAGATACCGCCCCCCCTGTCAATAAGCCGATTGGCGTACGCCCCCGGGTTGGGGGGGGGGGG